GTCACTATGTGACAGGCTTGAGGGTTTGCGTTGCGAGCTCCTGGGCAGAGCGAAACATAATTGTTTCTCTACTAGATCGGCGAAACAAATAAATTCACAATGCATATCTGTTGGAAAACGAAGAACAAATGCCTTTCAATGATGAATTTTTAGGCGGCTCAACAGGAGTGCCAAATCTTATCAAGGGTGATCTTAAATAGCCACGGATAAAGCCAGAAAAATTAATGGGTGTTGATTGAAGTAACAGGATTCATTTTTGACATACCAAAGTTTGCAACTGGTCCAATCACCTGCTCCAGTGCGCTAGTTTGAAACGTGTCTAGTCGACTAAAGGCATTTGCTTCAGAAGACTCTGGTTCAAGGCCAACAAGGTTTCCTCCGCGTTTGGTGTGAAGTGTCAACAATGAAATCGGCTCCTCGTCAAAGTCGTGCGGATCTGTTTCAACAGCGATATTTAACCAGTCTATGTACGTGTAAACGCCAATGCGAAAGTCAAACGACATCCGTTTGATCTCTCCATTCATCAAGGAGATAGGAAACACACATCTGGGCGTCAATTCCAAGTCCTGTTAATTGAAAAATTTTGCAGTTAAACTGTGTCGCGATCTCGAGTAATTTAAAGATTCGAAATGGTTTATGTGACTGCTAGAAACGTTTTTGCCAACTATTGACTAACATACCAAAAGAAAGCATATGAAAATCACGAGAAAAACTGCAGGAGGCGACGTAATCGGTAGAAAGGGAGGGACAGTACGGCCAGTATTTCATGCAAAATTGCCATATTTTTACAGTCACTAGCAAAAACGGTATGAAGTGGCGATCTTATAATGATAATCTTGCAGCCTAATGTCTAGTCAAGTCAGTCACGAGAAAATGTCAGCTTCCTAATGAGCATTGTTTTGACAAAGTACAATATATATTTCCTGTAAAAATGAAAACTAAATTAGTGTGCATTTAACACATTATTTTGAACGCCATTTCAAATTTAAGTATATATATTATATAAATTATTCACAACATTGTTCTTTTTGTATTCCTTAATAAGCGTTTTTTAAATTTTTCGACTTTAAGTGTTTTCTAAATTGCCGAAATATTTTAAGACCTACCGACTGTTACAGGTGAATTCAAGGTTTCCAAACTGTGTGCTGTGTAAATCCTATATAAGGAAAAGAACGTTTTTCCCCACAATGTGAGGAAGAGGTAACATAGTTGTATAATTTAGAAATACTTGTGGATCATGCTGCATATTTTATAAGCAATATTAATAAATTAACTGATACCATCTATTACTAATGACTAATTTATAGTCTCATAAAATCTCATAAGTACAATTTTTTTTAAAAACCAAAGTAAACTCCCTTTTTAGGCACGAAGTTCGAAGGAGGCGTAATTTGCTATTAAGCGAGTACAAGAAGGAATAATTATGCGAATGGTTCACACAAAATACATTAGAATTTATAAAAGCAGTCAAATCGATGAGCCAAATGCGTGCTACGCAACTAGCCATTATTAAAAAA